TATTTGTAATAAGTTGGAGTCTGTTGCTAGAGCTGTTCTGACTATATCTACCCAATTTCCATTGCATGTTACACCTATTAATTTATTTCTTTGTTGATTTCTTTCAACTTGTTTTTTTAGGAGTATTTCTTGTTCTTTTAAAGAATATGGTATTAATTCTTTAAGTATTTTGATGTTTTTGAATTTCTGATATTCAATATCAGTCCATTTCATTTTTTCTTCTGCATTTTTCGATTGTTTGTCATTTTGATTAGCCTTGTTAGGTTGGTTTGCCATCCTGATTGGTTGGTGGGTTTTAGTTTTACTACCCACGTTGGGCGTCATCGAGATGTTTTTTCTCACTTTTAAAGGGGTGTCTCATTTGGAGAGGTATTTAGATAAATATAAGGGGGGTTGGTTTCTCAAGGTTAAGTGAGCAGGTCCATCACGAGCTAGGTTGTTACACCTATAACCTGTATCTGATCTCATTTCTTGGTAGCTAATAGGCTTGTTATTGATTAAGGCTATCTTATTTTGTCTATCTTTAGTAATATGTAGTCTTGCTTGATCTACTTCAGATAAGAGAAGGTAAGGTTGTTCTCCTTTGATAATAGTTACTTTGATTTGTGCTTGAATATCTTCTATTTGGATTGTTACTTTTACTTCTCCCAGGTTTGAGATTGTTTTTCCTCCTGGTAATACTGCTTTTGTTCTATTATCTTTATCCAGGTATTGTAATAAGTTCCATTCTACTGCAATGTCTTGTCCTATTACATTTCCACTTGCTCCTTCATCAAGCAATACTTTTATTGGCCAATTGTTCATTAATGTCATAAAGTAATATGCTTGTTTTCCTTTTGGTCTTTTACTTAGGTCTAACCAGTAAACTTTTTGAGGGAATCGATATGTTTTCTTCAGGTATTCATATTCTTTGTCGATGTTTGCTTTCTCAATCATTTTTTCAGATAATACATTCTTGGCAGAGCATTTGATATATGGGTTATTAATATTATGATCTTTATTTAATATTTTCTGATTAAAACATATGATATTATTAATATGTTCCTTAGAAGACTTTTGGTTCTTCTTAATATTATGAATATTAATATGCTCTATAGTGCAGCCATTATCTTGCTTAGGGAGTTGGTCCTGAGCACTATGCAGGTTCCCATTTAAAAAAGATATGTTTTGGAAGAAGATGCTTTTGAGGAAGATGCTATAGGTTCTTTATCGTCTTCTTCTTTGTAATAATTGTATTGTTTTGGATTTTCTTTTCTTTTGAAATCTCTTTTATCATTTCTTGGTTCCCTTTTGTCAGTTCTTTCAGGTTTTTTATAACTCTTTTCCTTTTCTTCAGGTTGATAATTATGATATCGTCTGGGTGGTTTTTGACCTTTGTTATATCGATTTCGATTATTGTTGTTTCGATAATTATTTCGATTATTATTTCTGTTGTTATTTCCATTATTTCTGTTGTTATTATTATATCTTCCAATTTGCATTTAGTTACTTCTTGATCCATTGTAATATTTTCTATTATTTCTTGGACATGTTCTTTCTTGTCTTGGTGGAAACTTTTTGCAGTATTGACATGGTCGTTTGAATGTTTTAGGAAAGTTTTTTGTCATTCTTCTAGAATCAATTTTTTTGAAGGATTCTTTTCTTTCATTAGTACAATCTCTTGCAAAATGACCGTATTGTTGACATTTAAAGCATTTAGCCTTAGATTTGTCCATTGGTTTTCTTTCATTATTCTTGAAGTTATGGATCTTGATTTTTGATCCTGTCTTGATTTCATCTTTTGAAATTATTTCATTCCTTTTTGTATAGAATATAGTATTCACTTCTTCGAAAAATGCTTGTTTGTTTAATGGTCTTTTTGCCATTATTTGATAGTTGTAGGTAATTGGTACCATATCTAGTAATCTTGCATATTCTTCTTGGTTCCATCCTGCATATGCGAAGTTTGATTATGTCATTGTTTCTTCATATCTATTTCTGAAGTTATCTACATCATTTTCAGTTCCATAATCTGGTTTGTATATAAGATTTTGGAAATCGTTTTGTCTTCCTAATTGGATTTCATCTGTTAGATATGCATTATCTAATAATTCTTTTAATGATATTTGAGGTGTTTGATATGTGCATTGGCTTCTGCCTACTAATCCAGTATCATGCCAATTGTCTTGTGCATAATTTACTCCTGCTGTTATTGGATAATTGGTTGAATCTTTTAGATTGTTTAACTCATTTTGATTTGCTATTACTCTAAAGTAACAATTCACATTTGGGTTTGTTGTTAATAGTCTTCTAGCTGCTCCATGTAATTTTGTATATATTACTGATTTTATTCTTTTGAAGAATTCCATGTTCCAGTATGCTTTTGGCAAGTCTGCTCTGAATCATAATCAGGTTGTTGCATGGTATATCCTAAGTCTGGATTTCTACTGAATCTTCCAAATATGGTTAGTGTATTGTCCATGCCCATTTCAGTAAATTTTATTCTAATTTATTTCTCCATTGAATGTATTCTGCTGTTTCTCCATTGAAGTTTCTGATTCTATATAATGATTTTAGATTTGGAAATCTTACTTCTGGTTGTGCCATTTTAATATATTTGTGGTTTTATTATTTTGGCGTTTCTCAGATAATCTTGTATTCTTGTTTCAGCAATTCCTAATTGTTGTACTGCTAGATTATATGTTAAGTAATCTTGTAGTTCGTGACTATAAATTATTAGGCAAGCTAACTCTTCTTCAGATATTGTTCTTATAAATCTTTGTCTTCTTGGTACTTTTACTTTTATTGTATGTGGTGCTGGAGTGATATCTGGTGCTATTATTATAGATACTCTGGTTAATTTTTCTTCTTCTATTATTTCTGTAACTTCTTGTCCTACTTCTTGTAGTTTAGTTAATAGTTTTTCTTTTGCTTTCTTAAGTTCTTCTTTTTCTAGAGAAGATAATTCTTTTGATCCATATTTATAATAGTATGCTATGCTTAAAGGTTGAATAATATGTTTGGCTTCCTCTTTCACAAGTAAACATTAGAGTTTGTTTTTGTTAATTCCTTTTTCTCAGATTTTTGATCCTATTTCTACAATGAGTTCATTTGGTTCTTGTAGTTCTATTGCTACCTTCTGTAGTTTGATAAGGTTTTCTGTTTGGATTATATTTGTTTTAAGTTGTTTTTTCCAGGTTTCTAGTAAGAATTTCTTTACTGGATAATCCTTTGGTATTTTAACTTTTGGTTCCTTGACTTCTTGGTTTACTTCTTTAATATATTTAGGTTCCTCTTTTGGTTGTAATAATTCAAGTACTAATCCTTTGTATGGTTCTTTAGTTATGTACTTGTTCATTAAAGAGTGGTTATTGTTGCTTGTACTTGATTTGCAATATCTTCGTTTCTTTTTAAGATGTCGTGTTTTAATAGTTGATTTCTTCTGTTCTTTATACAGGTAATAATTATAAGTGATGTTATTCCTAATACTATAATTAATGTTACTATTACTGCTACTATATCTATGACGTTTTGGTCTTGAAAGAATGCTGGATTCTCAGTTGTGAATAGTGATGTTGTTGCAGTTGTGGTTTGAATAGTTGTTGCTGTTACTATTAATGTTGGTGTTGGTATAGTTATTTGTATAACAGTATTTGCCATTAATATGCTGTTCCAAATTGTTGATTAATTAGTCCTATGTTTGGTATTGCTGTTCTTGTTGCTTGGTTCAAGATTAATTGTTGTCCTAATGTTCTTTTCTTTTGTTTCCTTTTGTTGATAAGTATTATAATTATGAATACTATTAGTCCTATTATAAGTAAAATTAAAGTTATTATTTCTTCTAGAAAGGATGTTGCTTCAAGTTTCATCTATTTCTTCTTTCTGAGTAAGTTTATCTTGGGTGCCACTTGTGGTGGTTTTAAGATGTTTGGTATAGGTGGTAAAGGTCTTGTAGGTTTGTTGTTCCTTATGTTTAAGATTCTATTAATTTTTTTTGCTATTCCTAGTTGTGTTTGGGTTGGTCTTAGATTTGGTGTTGACCTTGTTTGTCTTGGTAATAGGTTATATAATAAAGGATTATTTTTGTTGGACATGTATTAACAACAGCAGCAATTGCTATTTGCTTCAAGATACTGGTTTGCTCCAGGAATTGCCTTGAGGACTCTCTTTTTATATCTTTGTTGTCTATAACAGCAAATGAATATTATTAATAGTATTGTTATTGTTTCAATGAT